ATCCCGACACCATCCCGACACCATCCCGACATCCCGACACCATCCCGCCCTTCCCAGGCCACTGCATCCCGACAGCCTGACACCATCCTGCCACAGCCCCGGGAACAACCGCCAGACGTGACAGAGCAAAAATCGCAGTCACAGAACGTGTGGAGCTGGAAGGGACCTACAAGAGTCATCAAGTCCAACTCCTGGCCCTGCACAGGACCATCCCCAGGATTCACACCCCGTGCCCCAGAGGATCATCCAAACACTTCTGGAGCTCTGGCAGCCTTGAGGCTGTGCCCACTGCCCTGGGGAGCCTGTTCCAGGGATGGATGGGGCAGCCACAGCTTCTCTGGGCAACCTGGGCCAGGGCCTCCCCCCCACACAGGGAAGAATTTCTTCCCAATATCCCATCTAACCCTGCCCTCTGGCAGTGGGAAGCCATTCCCCCTTGTCCTGTCCCTCCAGGCCCTTGTTCCAAGTCCCTCTCCAGCTCTCCTGGAGCCCCTTTAGGCCCTGGAAGGGGCTCTAAGGTCTCCCTGGAGCCTTCTGTTCCTCTTCTCCAGGCTGAACCCCCCCAGCTCTCCCAGCCTGGCTCCAGAGCAGAGGGGCTCCAACCCTCCTGATAGAAAAGAAGAAAAAAACCCAACCAAAATTAAGAAAAAAACCCCATAACAAAAACAACCCCCTGGACTTTAGCTGAACAAACAGGCAGAGTAAAGAAATTCATGGAGAAGATTTATTGGTCAGAACTGTCTCTGTGTGTGTGAAGGACTAGCAGGAGGCTCCCCTGCTCAGTCCCCCAGCTCATCCCTCACCAGCACAGGGAAGCTCCTGCCCCCCTGGCAGAGCTGGGTGTGGATGGCACGGAAGAGCCGGGCAGAGCCCTCCGGGCACGGGCTGGGCTCCAGGACAGGCAGCAGCTCTGCCATCAGCACCTGGGCAGGACAAAGGGGACACATCACCAGAGCCAGCACACACTGCCAGGACTCCTTGAAGCAAAGTGGCTGCATAACAAGTGAAATCTAATCAGAGCAGTGTGACTAATAACATGCTCATTGATTGACAGATACTTTCTTTTGTCATATTTAACAAAGGCAGAGTTGTTAATCCTCTGCTCATGAGCTACACTAGCAGCCACCGTGTTCCCAGAGCAGTGAGATAAGTGGAGATGCTGCTCCTCTGCCACAGGGAAGGCCCAGCAATGGGATGAGATCATACCCTGCAAGAAGTTGAAGCTGGTGTTGGCTCAGGAGCTCTGCAGCCACACAGTGAAGTGCTCACTCACCCAACAGTAAGTTCAAGCACTCAGGACTGTTCCTGTCACCTCCCAGCTAATCCAAGACAGATGGGTGAGTGGCCAACTCCAGCCCAAATGGGCTACAGGGGCTGCTAGAGCTGCCAACATTCCCTGCCCTGGTCTTTGGTCCATTAAGCCTAGCTCAGGATCTCAGCCCACCTCAGCTCAGGTCCAACACCACCCTGGTGCAGCATCACCAGCTCTGGGACTAAACTGTGAGAGACAACTCAAGCACAGGTCACTTCCAATCAAAGGACAGAAGCTGGCCTTTGGTGCCCCACTCTTGAATTAATGCTCAGGCAGACCTCCTCTGGGATTTTCATACTGCTCCACAGATGTCTGCACAGGGACAGGGAAGCAGGACACAGTTGCTAATCTCTGGGAATTCTCTTTCTACAGACATGAAAGCTAAGGGGAAAGCTGCACATGAAAGAATGCTGCCCTGCTCCACTTCCTAAGAGAGAGATCCTTCTCTTTTCCATCCATCTGCTCTGCTCCTGCTGTGTAAGAACAGAGGAAACAAAACTTCACCACCAAAGAGAGTCTAAGAGCTACCAGGAGTCTCCGTGATACTTGGCATTCCTCCATGGAAAGGCAATGGACAGGCTTGGCCCAGAAATAGGTACATCCATTCCCAGGGTATCTGTCTTGTATCACACCCACTCATTTCACCTGTTCCAACAATTTCACTTATCTTCATCCAGCAGAGCTGCTTCAGACCCTCAGAGCTCACCTACCACAAAACATCTATTTGGATACATGTGCAGAGGAAACTGAGTCAGTCAACAGAGCAGTAGGAATCTGGCTTTGGTCACCACTTCATTTTGGGCAGATAAAGAACCCAAAACCTTCACAATCCATAATTCAGGACTATAATGCTGAAATCCCATTTGAGGACAGGCAGCAATCTATCTTCAGCCAGAGGGAGGAGTACAGCCAGTTATTAATAACTCCTCTGTGGCTTAGAAAAAATTACTTTTCCAAAGCCTCTATCATTCAGGTCAACAGTGGATGTGATTTCACAGATCTTCTCTGCCCTTTGCTGCTGGTTGAGAAGAACAAGTGATCTCTGTGCAGCAAGCTCTCTGCTCGGGCTGCTGAAGAAGCTGACACCTCCTACCCTGCTCTCACAGGCTCAGAATGGTCAAATCAAGATTAGCAGCACAGTGGTTTGAGGTTTAAAAGGAAAGGAAGAGAGAGCAGAGGAGTTCACTAGTTGGAGGTCACACAGGAGAGAATGACACAGTGGGTGCCCTCGTGAGACTGTGAAGGGCTGACAAAAGGGGCCTTCAGGCATTACCAACATCCTCCACTGCCAAATTCTTTCAGAACAGCTAAATAAAACCTTATCAGGAGAGGGTCAGACACATAAAGGCCTCTGCTCTGGCTCTAACAAAAAACAGTCAGTTCCATTCACCTACAAAGACAGCAAGGCACTGAGGGGACTTGGACATGAGGCATAAACACAGAAACACGACTGGGGAAGCTTGCTGTGCTGCTGCTCCCCATCAGCTCCCCATCCAGCAGCTGGTGCCCCACAACTGCCCTTTCCTTTCCCTGCTCCAGGAGCATTAACACTTTCCCAGACTCACCTTTTGTAGGGCAATCTCTTGGTGCAGCATTGACACTTGCAGCTTCAAGGCAAACAGGTCCCTCAGCTCCTGGAAGCTGGAGTAACACAGGAGAGGCAGAGCCAGCACTCCTGCAGTGTCACACATCTGTCCCCTGGCAGGGACACAGGCTGGGGAGCAGCTTCCCACATCCCCAGTGCAGTCTGGGCGCAGCCTCAGCTGGGACTCCAGAGCTGCCAGGGGGCAAGAACAGGTAGGAGACAAAACCACACGAGTTAAATCTGTACTTGCAGAATTTATGATCTCAGAAATGAATGAGTAATGACAGTGTATTATTCAGGGTAAGCTCCTCACACATGGCACAATCAGGATCCTAAGCTATGGCATCCAGTGTCCCCAGCAGCTCCTTCCCCAGCCCTCCTGAACTGCAGCAGTTAAAAGCTCCAAGCCTCTCCTGAACACAGAGGGGTGGCACACAGATACCATGGCTTTGTTTGCCACCAGACAATTTCACGTGCTCCATTACCATTAAAGATAACCAGGAGAAAAATTACCTTGTCCACAGTGTCCTGCACAGACGGAAAACCACTGTTCCAGCACATTCACACCTGACCACAAACACAGGGACTGACTCACCTGCTCGAAGAAGCTGCAGCTTCTGCAGGCACTGAGCAACTGTGGTTTGCAAACCCTCCAAGGTCAGAAGGCTTTCATACTCCCCTTGCAGAGTGGGAGGGTCTACAAGAGAAGCAGAGGAAACCCAGCAGGCATGAGCATACTGGAACCTTCCTCCCCAAACACCCAACACTGGTGTTGGGTTCACCAGCCCTCGTTTTAGGCAGGCAATGCTCCTGTCCCTCAAGTCCAGCACATGGCAAGGACACAAAACAGATGGAACTGGAGTCCAGACCATCCTTATTCCACCTTCTGCCCCTCCACCCCCTTTTTTCCTTCTTACCTGCAGTCTCAGCTTCCACATACTGTCTCAGATGGGAGCGGACATCCTGGAGGACCCTCAATTCCTCCTCTATCTCTGCAGGACTGAAGTCTGCCTTCGGTGAACAAAACTCAAACAGCAGCAGCTTAAGGAAAGTTCCACACCACCAGCTGAGTGCAGCATTCCTGGCCAGGCCAGCTGGGAGCAGGGACAGAGGGAACAGCCCAGGAAGTGGCATTGCAGGGGGAAGCTGAGGATGGCACAGCACAGCTGTGTAGGGCATGTTTGCCTTGTGGCCATGTTTGGCTGGATCAAGAGTTTTGTAAGTGCTCAAGAGCTGTACTATGAAAACCCCACTTCCCAGAGACCCAGCTTGAAGTGCTGGTATTGGAGGCATTACTCTCTTCAGCTGGGAGCTCACTGTGGAGCAACTGTACCCGGAGCCTGCTGGGAAAGGATACAGTTGTCTGGATCCTCTCCATAAAACGGGCCCTTGCAGCTGCTGCATCTGCACTTGTTTGGCACAGATGACATTTCTCCCATGCCCTGAAAATTCCAAAGGGGCAGGAGGTGGAAGTTACACTCCTTTGTACCAGACAGTGTTCACACTGAGCCGTGACACACCAGTGTGACACATCAGTGCTTTAATTACAAGTGTCTCCATCACCCCCCCTCGCTCACAGGTTATTTACTAACCATTCCCAACTCATTCCCACAGCTGGTATTAGATCAGCAAGAACACCCTGCAGAAAGCATTAGACACTGCAAAACACCTGTTCCTCTCTCCACTTGTTTTAAAGGGAAGGATTTACAGCCATCAGAAGACAGACAGCACATTTCCAGAAGCAGAATGTGAACTTGCAGTACATCCCTAATTCTGTTGTATTGCCCTGCCTATGTTCATGTCCCACAGGAAACACTAAATCTTCCCTTCCTTTCTTAGAAGTAAGTCATCTGTACTTCTGCACAGTTTTTCTGTTAGTAAAGGTGCACAAAAAGAAGAGCAGACAGGACAAACTCTCATCCCAATTCCTTCATATGCCGAACTTCCTCAAGATTCTCCTTTAATCCTTTTTTTTGGGGACAAAATGCTACGTTTGGCAAGCAGTATGCCAGCAGTGTGTCAGCATCAGGGATGCAAGACACAGTATCATGAGGAAGCTGGCCAGGAGTTCACACCAGAGTCCAGTTTTTTAAATAAAGCACTACACAAATAACAGCATTACCAGAGAGATGCGTTTCACTTACAGAGTTCACCATCCCCATGGATACACAGTCCCCATAATATCCTTTACTTAAGGACTGGTTTAAAAAGCCAATCTCCCAAAATCTGCTGCAGTGAGAACCATCAGGAGGAAGCTTAAAATAGTTCTGCAGTGCCTGACTGTCTAACTCATGTGCATGTGTCTTTTAAATCATGTTAGGAACTGCAGATTTCAGAAATACATTATGCAAAGAAGTGGCAAGATTAATGGAAAAGGAGAGAACAGAAGTTCCCAGGCAAGATGCATTCCCTCTACAAGGGTTCTTTAGTGCAAAGGTTATTCTCAATCTGTCACCGAGTTGAAAGCAATAGTGAAAAGTATAAAATTACACCAGAGCGATTAGAATGCTGAAAGGCTCAATTTACAAGTGAAAATTAAGGGAATAAAGTCTTTACAACTTGCTGAAGGGCAACTAACAAACTGGTGGCTGATAAATGACAGTTCCCAAGAGGAGGAGGAATTCTTGAGGGCAGCACAAGGGGCTATAGTTAGAGTTAAGACAGGGTTTAAGCTTAACATCTGAATTAAGCACATAATGAGAAATCTGCTGAATTATGGCAAGATTTCTCAGAGTAAATGTGGGACCCTTCTGGAAGACTGGAGAATGCACCAGAGCACTGAGCTCACCAGAAACCCAACCACCTGCACCCTCACTGCAGGAACTCTGGAGTTGGCTCTGTGTAAGAGCTGAACAGCAGGAACAGCCTCAAACACACACAGCTGTGGTGCTTCCAGAGGTGTCCCAGCAGGGCAGGGCATGGCTGGTTTGGGAAATGTTCAGTGGATAGGGTACAGAGGCACCCAGCCCACAGGGTCTCCTGCCTCCAACAGGTGTCTGCTACCAGCAGAGGCTTCTGCTGCACTGTTAAACCCACAAATAAAGCATTCCAGTGCCTTCATGACTCAGTGAGCAAGCGTAATTAGCACTCTGAAAATAAATTCTAGCAGCCAGAATAACATGAGCACACACATCCTCAGCAAGAGCCTTGCAGGGCACTCCTCCTGCTCCCAGTTCAGCCCCACACCCCACGGGGTCACTGCCTGCCCAGGAACCACCACCAGCCACGTCCCCCCACCCGGCCCCTCCTCACAGCCCTTAAGCAGAGGGACTGCACTAGTCAGGCTGGGCTTACCTGGAGTTCCTGGAATAGGCTATCCTGTAGGGAAGGGGGAGCTTCAGCTGGCATCTGCAAAACAGGAGAAGGATCAATCCTGGCTGCCAGGGAGCAGCTGAGCCTTGTCTTCCAACAGGGAAAATGATATTTTGTCAAAATCTGGAATTAATTTAGCTGCAATGGGAGATGTCAGCAACCCTGGAGACTGAATCCACCACTGCCTCCAGCTTGTCCTCAAGGAAGGAGGCTCAGGCTCCTCTCTAATTTCCACAGACATCACTGAGCTGACCTGGGGGAGCTCCTGCATCCTGCCACCAGCTGTCAGAGGCGGGAAGCTGGGAGCAAAGCCCTGGCACGACAGAGAACAGGCATGGAAACAACTTATTCAGGGAAGCTGGTCTGCCCAACCCTGCTGCTCTACCTGAGCAGGACAAGGCAGCTTTGCTTAGCACCACATCACACTCAAAAGAAATGGGAAAGGGACATTCCAGCTTCCATTGGAATATGGCTCTTAACCCCGAAGTAAAATAATCCTCAAGTTGTGACTACAAAAACAAGTGGGTTGGCAGTTGTTAGTCACATGCAGACTAGGAACCCAAGGCCACAGCTGAGATTTTAAGTACACAAACATTTGAATCCAGATCCCTGTTCCCCCAACAAGTGTCACTCAGTGTCCTGTGTCCCTTCCGATGCCAGGGAACAGGGGTAATTTCCTTCCTGCACAAACACAACAGTCTGGGTTGTGGTAGCTGAGAGATATTCCTCAAAATTTTCCTGGGACATCAGAGCTGACCTTCACTGTTTCTTTAAAGCAAAGACTACACAGAAAAGAAATTCTTTAAACAAGACAGAATGGCCTGAATGCAAAGCCAACATTTCAAGTATTATTTTGCCACTTTTCCACAGAGGATCTCAGTAACATCCACCTTATAATCCTTCCCACACCAAACACTTGAAACAACTGCATTCTAGTCCATCCTGATTTCTGTAGTTACATGGGCAGTGTCTTACAGGTTAACCCAGATGCCATCACTGCAAACAGCATTGGGCACCTGCTTTAGAGAGAGTGAAAATTCATGCATTATGTATTATCACTGTGTAAAAAGAGAACAAATAAAAAAATCAATATGCTATAATAGAAAGTGCACTCAGAGGAAAACTAAGGCTCAAGAAAGCTCTACAGAGACATCTTTCCATAACAGTCACAGGGGACTATGAAATACCAACAGTCTTAATTGAAAGGCTTTCAAAGTCCCAGCCATCCAAGAAGAAGCCCTTTAAATTAAAACTACTTGCTCAACCACAATAAAGGCGCTTACAGTGTACAGGATGCTTCCTCTTCAGAGGGATGGAAGGAGGGTGAAAGCAGGCTGGGGCCCCAAGGAGCAGCAGCAGCCAGCAGGGTTTGGAGATGTGCCTCTGAGTGTCAAGTTAAACACAAAGAGAGGTGCCCACCTCCCACACTCACCCCTTTTCCTGCAGGGTGCCTGTCCCAGGTGAGGGGCTCCTTCCTGATGCACCTGCAGTGTCCTCCTTTTTGCTGGACTCTCCCAGGAAACCACAACTTTTCTTCCCTGCATCAAATAACTCCTGGCCAGCAGCTATTGAGTTCTTTCCCCCAGCTGAATCCCCCACAGAAAAACTTTGCTGCTCATTTGGGGCAGATTTGGACAAGCCAAGTGTCTTTTGGGGTTCAGCTGGAGCACAGACCTCTGTGGCACTGCCAGTTGCTGTCCTCTGACTCCCTCTTTGTTTCGAAGCCACCCCTTTGGAGGAGTTCTTCCCCGATGTCCTGGGACCTTGAGAAACACATCTGGCTGGGGCTTTCCTCTGTGGTTTCTTCACATCTGGGTCAGTCCTATAAGGGGCTCTTAGCTGGTATGCAGAGGGCTTCTTTGAAGAGCCAGGCTTTTTGCTTCCAGTTCCCACCTTTGTGCTCTCAGGAACATCCTCAACAGATACAGGCACCTGCTGCTCTTCAGCCTTCCTGGCAGCAGGTCCCTCACCTGCCAATTTCTTTCCTGTAGCTCCCGGGGCCTCTAGTGGACTTTTCAAGATGCTTTTCCTGACTTTCAGTGCCTTCTCTAAGGCCCTGTTCAGCAGTTCCAGCTCCTCCAGCTCCTTGGGTGAAGGCCTGTTCTCTGCAAGAGGAGATGACATGTCAGAAAGTCCAACCCTGGATCTTGCCCATCTGTCTCTTCACTAATCTGCTTTGCCATGTACTACAGAAGGGAACCAGACACGATGAATGGTGTAGGGGGTATTTTTTTTGGCTGTGGGCGCAGCCAGTGCACAGAGGATGCAGGCAGGCTGCAGGAAGCCTTGAACACAGGACAGGTGTGAGCCACAGAAGAGAGTTCTGCAGAATCAACCTCAGCAAGTGACAACCCCACACCTGGGTCAGGCCCACAGACACTTCACACTGGCCTGAGTTACCGAGGTGCGACTCCAAGCTAACTCCAAGGAGGAAAGGGGGAGGAAAAGGGGGGGGGGGGGGGTTTAAGTCGCTGCAGAAAAGTGGAACGGCTCCTAACACCGAACCTGGCTCACCCTGTGTGACCTGAGGGGCCCCCGGGCCGAGGGAAGCGCTCACCGTGTCCAGCGCCGGAGCCGGGCTGCGGCTGCTCCTCTTCCTCACCGCCCCTGGGGGAACAAACAGCGCCGGGGCCGGCGATGTGCACCGGGACCGGCCCCCCGCCCGGCCCGCGGGGACGCGGCTGCGGGACCAGGCCCGGGGGGCGCAGAGTGTGCCCGGGGCCGCCCCGCACTCACCACGGCCGCAGCAGCGCCCGGCCCCGCTCCGCCCGCCGCTCCAGCTCCCGCCGCCGCTCCGCGCCCGCGCCCAGCGCCGCCCTC